TGTCAGCGTGCCGTCGTTTCTGAAGCCATCAAAACCCAGAATATAGAAAATTGACTCTCAGCCTGGAACTACGTGAAGCAACTGAGTCATTGAGTGCAGAGCAGCTTCCAGCACAGAGAGAGAGAGAGAGAGAGAGAGAGAGAGAGAGAGAGAGAGAGAGAGAGAGAGAGAGGGGGGGGGGGGGAACTTGAATTACTCAAATGCAATACTAGGAAAGCCAAATGAATCACTTCCTATCCCGCAGTAGATTTAGTCATGCGTGGGAGCACATGGCTGCAATTTTCTAGCCAGCAAATTCTTTGCAAAACAGCCAAGAACATTTGTTACATAAGCCTGCCCAGACCAGCACCCAGTGTTCGTTTGACATGAGTATTTTCTTGGCAGACTCTCGGCCTTCTGTTTACGGATTCGTTCCACGTTCACACAACCTCTCTTTGGGAAGTCGCTGGTCTGTGGCACACAGGAAGCCTTCGGCATCGGGGAAAAGCTCCTGCTGGAAAGGGGTCTAGGACAATTCGGCACGAACAACTTAATAATAATAATAATAATAATAATAATAATAATAATAATAATAATAATAAAGTTGGGAGGGACCTTGGAGGTCATCTAGTCCAACCCCCTGCTCAGGCAGGAGACCCCTATACCATTTCAGACAAATGGCTGTCCAGTCTCCTCTTAAAAACCTCCAGTGTTGGAGCATTCACCGCTTCTGGTGGCAAGTTGTTCCACTGGCTAATTGTCCTCACTGTCAGGAAGTTCCTCCTTAGTTCCAGGTTGCTTCTCTCTCCTTGATGAGTTTCCATCCGTTGCTTCTTGTCCTTCTTTTCCGGTGCTTTGGAGAACAGCTTGACTCCCTCTTCTTTGGGGCAGCCCCTGTACGTGCCGCGGGATAACTCGCAGCAGCCCAAAGGTCACCCCAATTTCAAAGAAACCATTAAAGGAAGGATGCAGACGGAGGGGCCGAAGGGAACCCGAAGGACCCAAAAAATAAACAAATCATGTTTTATTTATTTTAAATAATGAAACAGAACGGTTGAATCGTCCCACGGCCGCCGGGAACCGGCTGCCACACGGCACAGCCAAGTTACAGCCGACCAATTGGTCGTGGGAAAATTCGCCACAGGAAAATTCCGCAGGAGACCCAGTTGGACAATTTCATTTCATTATTTCAAATAACTGAAAGCACTCTTTCCATTTTTGGCCGTTCGCGTTTCGTTTTCTCCTTCCTTTTGCATCCTTCCTTCAAGGATTCTATTTCACCAATAGACTTTTTTCACACCGTTGCACACACACACACACCCACCCAGGGTCACGTGATCAAAATCCAGACCCTTGGCCGCTGACTCGTATTTCTGACGGTTGCAGCGTCCCCGGGGTCACGGGATTCCCCCCTTTTGCGACCGTCTGACAGTGAGAAAGTCAGCTCCACTTAGCAATTGTATTACTAACTTCAGAACTTCCGTGCTTCGCTTACGAACGGGGGCAAGCGAGGTCGTAAAATGGAGCGCAACTCACAGAAATGATGAACGCATGGTTAGACTCATCGTTCTCCAATATATCAGCGTCAAAATTCGCAGAAAGAGGAAATAGGAAATAGGGAAAAAAGAAGAACCGGTATTTTTAAGGAGAGGAAAAACAATAAAAGTTTGGGCTGATGTTTATTTCTTGCTGCAGATTTGAGCACAGGTTTTTAAGGAAGGGATCAAATGCTTTGATTCCTTGGTTAAAACGTCTGCCCAAATTTGCAGTAAAAAAAATAAACGTCAGCCAAAATTTACTCTTTCGCGAGGAGACCCTTCCTTCTATAAAACTTTCAATTTTTGCACCCCAACGTGCAAGGAGACCCCCCCCCCCAGTTTAGCTACTGTCGCTCAAAGACGGTAGTAGCCTCTCCAGGAATGTCATTGTTATTATCCAGAGACGTGCCAAACAAACAAACTGCACAAAGGATTTGCCTGCAGAATAAAATTAATATTTTGATTATTATTTTTTTTAATCATCTTATTGGGCCGGTGCCAAGTTGTGGGTGGCTTGGAGGCGAGCGGAGACTTGAATCCTGCTGGCTTGCCTCTTTCCCCTTCATTAAACAGGAATCCCAGTTGTTTTTTTTTTGTTTTCTCCCCAGCTGTCCTAGAAATTATACAGGAAGTCCTTGATTTACAACCGTTTCGTTTAGTGACCGTTCAAAGTTACGATGGCACTAAAAAAAAAAGGGACTTAGGACCGTTTTTCACACTTAACACCCATTGCGGCATCCCGGCGGTCACGGGATCAAAATTCAGACGCAAATGCTAGTCAGGTTAAAAAAGAAGAGACTGGACAGCCATTTGTCTGAAATGGTCTAGGGTTTCCTGCCTGAGCAGGGGGTTGGACTAGATGACCTCCAAGGTCCCTTCCAGCTCTATTCAATTCTATTCTATTCTATTCTATTCTATTCTATTCTATTCTATTATTATTATTTCATTCTATTATTCCATTCCATTCCATTCCATCCCATCCCATTTTATTATTCTATTCTATTCTATTCTATTCTATTCTATTCTATTCTATTCTATTCTATTCTATTCTATTCTATGGTTGGTCGGTCAAAATGGTCTAGGCTCTCCTGTTTGAGCAGCGGGCTGGACTAGAAGACCTCCAAGGTCCCTTCCATCTCTATTCTGATTGATTGATTGATTGATTGACATGGTCTAGAGTCTCCTGCCTGGGCAGGGGGTTGGACTAGAAGACCTCCAAGGTCCCTTCCATCTCTATTCTGATTGATTGATTGATTGATTGATTGACTGATTGATTGAAACGGCCTACGGTCTCCTGCCTGGGCAGGGGGTTGGACTAGAAGACCTCCAAGGTCCCTCCCAGCTCTATTCTGATTGATTGGTTGAAGCTCCAAGCCTTTCTGCTGGTGGTTGAGGACGGATCCTTCCTCCTTCTCCATATAAGGGACTGCCTGCTGCTTAGGAGCTGCTGGTTCAGCCTCCAGGCACATTAACCCCCCCTTCTCCCCCCTCCCCGTGACGCAGGTCTCCCATCCATTTTTTCCCCTTTCCCTGCAGCCCCTAGACCAGGGTGAGGCTGAATGGAGCCAGGGGCCACGGGCTCCTTAATTTTAACAAGGTTTATTTTCGAGTCAGAAGCTTGGTGATCCCTGCCAAAGTTCCCCGCTGGCTTCAGCGTTGAGTCACATCCTAACAGCCATTCTTTTCGCTCTGATGCCACTTGTGTGAATGTCAGTTCACTTCTGAGTCACCTCGGAGCAGCGAAGACTTGCAGGTTAGGTTGCAAGAAGCGAGAGGAGAGAGGGAAACGCCTCTTTCTCTTCCCATTTTTTTTTGGCTCCCCTTTCGCCAAACCAACGGACTTGGGGAGCAGGGGGCGCTGATGGAACGAAGCTCGATGCTCTTGTGGCCGGTTGTGAAATTGGCAAAAGCATTAAGATGGGGACATCTTCAAACTGTTTCGAGAGAGTGGGCCGTGGCAGCGCCCTTAATTTCGCCGTGAGCAGTTTTATATCCAAATCTGTTTTTTATTATTTTTTATCCTGTTCCCGTCTTCCCTTAAAACATGAACAGAAACCCCCATGGGCTGAGAATCTGTGTCTCCACTAGATAATAGAATAGAATAGAATAGAATAGAATAGAATAGAATAGAATAGAATAGAATAGAATACAGAACAGAGAATAGAATAGAATAGAACAGAAATGGCAGATGCAATTTGTCAGTTAGACTAGCCATTGCTTAGAGAGACTCACATAAATATGATGAAACATTCCTGGAAGGAGGAGGAGGAGAAGGAGAAGGAGGAGGAGAAGGAGGAGGAGGAGGAGGAGGAGGAGGAGGAGGAGGAGAAGAAGAAGAAGAAGAAGAAGAAGAAGAAGAAGAAGAAGAAGAGAAGAAGAAGAAGAAGAAGAAGAAGAAGAAGAAGAAGAAGAAGAAGAAGAAGAAGAAGAAGAAAGAAGAAAAGCATTGACACTCACAACTTTGTTTAGCCTTTAGCTTTCACGTGGCTGAGGATCTAAATCAAATTAAACATGTTTGTTTGTGGAATGATTCAGAGTCTGCAAATTACGCCTGAGCTCAACAGCGAAGTCACACGTAGCACAATCTGGGCGATAGGGCTGGTAAGACCTTATCTAAAGTAAACCTGGCCTTTCAAAATAAGAACGAGGACAGAAGCCGCATTGCCGAAATTGTGGCCACGCTCGCCTTCAAGGGCTGCTCCACACGGATGGCTTTGCAGTAGTCCAGTCGAGGTTCCTCGCGAAGGACGGAGTGGGGAAATTAGAGGGAAAGGACAGGGCAGAATGACAGAAAGACAGAGCTGGAAGGGACCGTGGAGGTCTTCTAGTCCAACCCCTTCCTCAAGCAGGAGACATAATTTGAAAATGCAACTGAGGCTTGACCTATAATCCTATAATCCTGTTCCTATAATCCTATCCCTGGTAGACTTTTTTCTTTTATATTTGATTTCATTTCAGCGTAGCATAACTTGGTTTTTATCCACATTATAGGAATCACAAAAACTTAATTCTTTGGTTTATTCATCAACGGAAGAAGCAGGTGAGCAATGAGCCGATCTCTTGCTATTTGCTGCCACCTAGTGGTCGAAAGCACAAATGGTTCATCCACAGTTGGAAAGCAGGATCCTCGAGTTACGACGACAACTGAGGCCAAAAGTTATGTTATTTAGTGATTTAGGTTGTAAAATGGCGGGAAACTCACTGGAGGAGGCCTGGAGGAGGCCTTCCAGGCCTAGAACGGCCCGCCGGAAGTGCGTGGATGCCACTTTCAGAAGTCCGTTCTAGGCCTCGGAGGCCTGGAGGAGGCCTCCCAGGCCTAGAACGGCCTATCGGAAGTGCGTGGATGCCACTTCTGGAAGTCCGTTCTAGGCCTCGGAGGCCCAGGCCTGCAACCATGCAGAGAACCGGTTGTTCAGGTATTTGAATCCCACCACTGGTTGTAGCCCTGGGACTTTAAAGCGATGCGAGAAGTGTCTGGGTGTCTCATAAACTGTGGACGAAGTCGGCCACCTTCTCCAGTATCTCCACCCCCGCGGGAAACTGGACGAGGTTCATGTTGCAGAGATTGATGATCCCATGGAAGCCTTGCTCGGCGTGGAACCAGGTGACCTTCACTCCGTTCTCCTCCAGCCGCTTCTTGTACAACAGAGAGTCATCCCGAAGCACGTCGTACTCGCAACTCACGATAAAAGTCTCCGGGAACTGTCTCAAGATAGCATCTTCGACAAACAGCGACGAAAAGGTGGTCTGGAGGAGAAATGGCACTTGGTTGTGGATCTCCGGCTTGAACGGACCCAACGGGCGTCTCTCGTACTTGCGGCATTTAAATTTCTCTGGGATGTTGTCCAGACTGAGCCACTTTTCGCATTTCTGCCGAAAGGCATCCGGCACATGAGAACCCTTCAGGATATCGTCGACCAGTGAGGGATCTTTCAAGAAGTACTTCAGTCCATAGTACACCACGCTGTCCCGGAACAAGATTGGAACCACCGCGTTCTGCTGGTACGACGGGAGGTTGAAGTCCAGCGCTTGGAGTCCGGGGTAGATGAGGACCTGAGCGCGAAGCTTGGGGAGATCCGGGCATCCGAGAAGTACTTGTGAGATTACGGTGGCGAAGTTGCCTCCTGCGCTGTCCCCCCCGATGGCGATCTGGGAAGGGTCGACGCCGTGCTCCTCGGCGTGTTTCATGAAGTGCACGGTGGCAGCCAAACAGTCCTGCCACTGAGTGGGGAAGGGATGCTCCGGGGATAGGCGGTAGCTGCAAAATCACCAGGAAAAGAATTACTGGCAGAATAATTGGCAGGTGAGGGTCAAACTGGGGGGGGGGTCCTTGGTGGTCTCTGAGTTTGGAGGTTTTACCTGCAGATGTTGTATGGAGGTATATAAACAGAGAGCAAACCCCACTCCCTTCTAACACTGATGATGTTCCCTAGTTGGGTCATGAAACGTCTGCAAGAAAACCACCAAGGTCAGAGAACACGAAAGACCCCACAGTCTTCCTCCTCCTCCTCCTCCTCCTCCTCCTCCTCCTCTCTGCAAACTCCACTCCCTTCTAGCACTGATGATGTTCCCTGTTTGGGTCATGAAACGTCTGCAAGAAAACCACCAGGCTCAGAGAGCACCAAGGACCCCACAGTCCTCGTCCTCGTCCTCCTCCTCCTCCTCCTCCTCCTCCTCCTCCTCCTCCTCATCTCCCCACAAACTCAGTCCACATTTCCTCTTGAGACATGAGCACATAGGTTTACACGGGACGAGCGTGGCGTGTCACTCACCCAACCACGACCACCACGGCTTCACTCTCCTTGGCAATTTTACTGGTGATGTCTTGGTAGTAACCTGGGGGGGGGGAGAGGGGGAATCAAGATTAATACAGAGGTAACCATCAAAGCCTTTGAACTGCACTGGTATGAAAATCCCTCTGTCGACTTTGCCCGACACTGGAAGGCAACGAAATTACGATGTAGAGTTTTGATGATTCGAAGAAGAAAAAAAAAATCAGAGTATACCATAGAAAAAATATAAAGGATGCCGTAACTATAGAGGAAGAGGCACGTTTATATGGGTCATTGTTGCAAAGGAAAATGGAGAGACGTTTCTTTAAATTGGCTTTCTTTGTTTTCTGCACCTTCGTGTCTTTTCCTTCCTTCCTTCCTTCCTTCCTTCCTTCCTTCCTTCCTTCCTTCCTTCCTTCCTTCCTTCCTTCCTTCTTTCCTTCCTTCCTTCCTTCCCTTTTCCTTTCCTTTCCTCCCCCTCTCTTTTTACTTCCTTTCCTTCCTTCTTTCCTTCTTTTTCTTCCTTCCCTTCCCTTTTTTCTTTTCTCCTGCCTGCCTGCCTTTTTCTGACTCCTCCCTCCCTCCCTTTCTCTCTCTCTCTCATCTATTATCTACAGTATACTTTCTATCCATCCATTTTTTCTCTACCTTCCTCCCTTTCCTCCCTCCCTCCCTCTTCTCCTCCTTCCTTCCCTCCCTCATAATTTCTCCTTTGTAGTAGTAATAGTAGTAGTAGTAGTAGTAATAATAATAATAATAATTAATAATAATGATAATAATGATAATAATGATAATAATGATAATGATAATGATAATGATAATAATAATAATAATAATAATAATAATAATAATAATAATTAATAATAATAATAATAATAATAATAATAATAATAATAATAATAATAATAATAATAATAATAATAATAATAATAAAAAAAACTTGGAAGGGACCTTGGAGGTCATCTAGTCCAACCCCCTGCTCAGGCAGGAAACCCTACACCATTTTGGACAAATGGCTGTCCAGTCTGTTCTTAAAAACGTCCAGGGTTGGAGCATTCCCCGTTTCTGGAGGCAGGTTGTTCCACTGGTTAATTGTTCTAACTGTCTAATTGTTCTAATTATCCCCCGTCATTTTTCTCGGCCTCCAGATGGCTGCTGAGGGCATCGGAGGTTTTCAGCCACCCTTTGGTTTGTTTATTTCTCTATCGATTTATTCAACTTCCCAAGCCACCCGTCTCGGGCTGGGCCACTTACGGATGCTCCCGATCATGCCAGCTCCTCCGTGGTAGAACACGAACCCTTTTCTCCGGCCAGCCCAGGAGGTTTTGGGGTAATAAACCCGGACCGGGATCTCATCAAAGACAAAATCTTTGGCGGAAACTCCTGGATGGGTCTTAGATTTCTTCAAAGTGATCAGGAATCGGATAAAAACGACTTGCCTGCACAGGCGCAAAATCTCCAAGGCCTTCCCCTGTTTTCCCAAAAAAAGAAGAGGAAAAAGGTCAGGAAGAAATTTGGGGAGCCTTTTTCCGTTTTTGTTCACTTCTTCGGTTAAAAACTTGGTATATTTGGTTAGTGTCAATACAGGTAGCCCTCAGGTTACGACCACAATTGTTAAAGGAATCGTGCCACCGTTGTTAAATGAATCGCGGAAGTTCTTAAGTTAGACACGCGGTTGTTAAGTGAATCTGGCTTTTTCCCACTGACCGGGCTTGTCCGAAGGTCGCAAAAGGGGATCACGTCACACACACACACACCCTCTGGGATACTGCGACCGTCATAAACACGAGTCAGTTCCCGAGCATCTGAATTCAGATCGCGTGACCCCGGGGAGGCTGCAACAGTTTGTAACCGCGAGCCATTTTCCTAACCATAAACCTATCCGAGGAGCCAAAAAAAACCCCAAAACCAAAGTTTAATTCTTATTTTTTTTCTCTTCCATTGCAAGCACAAACTTCAGAAGCTCGGCGTAAACTTTTAAACCACGATAGACCTACCAGGGTGAAGATCATCACGATCCCCACGTGAAGGAGATGCAACTTAAACGGCTGGCGCAATCCCGGCGGGATCTTGGTCCGCATGAAATCGTAATAAATGCTCCAGGAGGCCAGCAATAAAAGGGCCAGCCCTAGGGCAGCAGCTCCGCCATAGAGAACGGCCAAAACATATCCCATTTCGTTTTGGAGATGGCCTTTGCCAAGACGGAGACCACGAGTCAAGACGATGGAACTTCTCCAGAAGTTCTCCAGAGGTTCTCCAGAGGACGGATGGCCTTCCTTCTGAAGCTGTGGGCTTGTTTATGAAGTGATTTCTGGCTGCTGTGCACACCTCCACATGCAGACGTCTCAATCCCTGGGATAATTGTGCCCGGGGAAGGCGGTTTCCAACAGTGTTGGTTGGAATGTGGAAGTCACCCAGGTGCCTACTTTGGTTGTAGGTCAGAAAATCGGGAGTCCTCCCCCCCGTGACTCAAAACTTCTCGTGCTCAACGTGCTCTGTGGGAGGCTGTGGAGGAAGACAAGATTCGGGGCCCAACAGGTGTTTCTTCCAACCTCTGTGGACTTCGCAGGTGGTCCTCTTTCTGCCCATTGCATCAACCAGAGGGACAGCATCAAGACCACCAGAAGAAGACCACCACTGTATAGTGCACTAGTGAGCCCAGGCGTGGAATATTGCGTCCAGCTCTGGACAAGCACAACGCGAAAAAGTTGTTGAGATCCTAGAAAGTGTGTGGAGGAGAGCAACGAAGATGATCTGGAGGCTAAACGGTACAATGAACAGCTAAGAGAAGACCGCCAAGGTCCCTTCCAGCTCTATTCTGATTGATTGATTGATTGATTGATTGATTGATTGATTGATTGAAATGGTCCAGAGTCTCTAGAGGCTCTCCTGCTTGAGCAGGGGGTTGGACTAGAAGACCTCCAGGGTCCCTTCCAGCTCTATTCTGATTGATTGATTGATTGATTGATTGATTGAAATGGTCTAGAGTCTCTAGAGGCTCTCCTGCTTGAGCAGGGGGTTGGACTAGAAGACCTCCAGGGTCCCTTCCAGCTCTATTCTGATTGATTGATTGATTGATTGATTGATTGATATGGTTCTCCTGTTTGAGCAGGGGGTTTGGCTAGAAGACCCCTGAGGTCCCTTGCCTGCCCTAGGATTCTACTTGTAGTTGATATATTTTTTTTTTCCTGCTTGTGGCTGTATATTTCCATCTTTTGACCATTTTTCTTCCTAAGGATGGTTCATATTTTGATAGCGAGTCTTTTGCAATGAGTGTTTTTCTACCAGAGTTTTATTTAATTGCTGTCCGCACGCCCAGAGTCACCTCTCTTTAGATAGGCAGATAGATAAATTTGATTAGCAAGTAAACAAATACTTGCCACCATTGTTAACGTTATCAGAGCATTCCTTTGCACATTAGAAGGGCGGATAGCGTTATTTGCCCAGCGCAATTCAGGGCACGCAAAAAGTCTGGGAACATTTTTTTTAATCTCTGAAATTGAGTGGTGGAGAGAAGTGAGCACACAGCTAGTCCTCGAACTTACGGCAACGGTTTATGTCGTTAAGTGAGACACTAGTTAAGTGAATTTCCCCCCTTTTCTTGCCTCAGTTGTTAAGGAGATCACTGCAGTTGATTAGTTAGTGACCCGGTTGTGAAGTGAATCTGGCTTCTTCCCCCATTGACTTTGCTTGACAGAAGGTCGCAAAAGGAGATCGCGTGACCCCCTGGGGATGCTGCGCCCGTTGTAAATATGAGTCAGTCGCCCAAGCAACCGAATGTCAATCCGGGGATGTGGAAATGATGGTGTAAGTGTGCAAAAAAAAAAAAGTCCCTTTTTTTTCAGTGCCGTTCGTTGCAACTTTGAACAGTCACTAAACGAACGGTTGTAAAATAAAATAAAATAAAATAAAATAATAAAACAAAATAAAATAAAACAAAATAAAACAAAATAAAATAAAATAAAATAAAATAATAAAACAAAATAAAATAAAACAAAATAAAACAAAATAAAATAAAATAAAATAAAATAATAAAACAAAATAAAATAAAACAAAATAAAACAAAATAAAATAAAATAAATAAAATAAAATAAAATAAAACAAAATAATAAAATAAAATAAAATAAAATAAAACAAAATAAAACAAAATAATAAAATAAAATAAAATAAAATAAATGAACGTTGTAAAATAAAATAAAATAAAGTAAAATAATAAAATAAAGTAAAATAAAAAATAATAAAATAAAATAATAAAACAAAATAAAAAATAAAATAATAAAATTAAATAAAACAAAACAAAATAATAAAATAAAATAAAATAATAAAACAAAATAAAGTAAAATAAAACAAAATAATAAAATAATATAAAATAAAATAAATGACTGTTGTAAAATAAAATAAAGTAAAATAAACATAATAAAATAAAATAATAAAACAAAATAAAAAATAAAATAATAAAATAAAATAAAACAAAACAAAATAAAACAAAATAATAAAATAAAATAAATGAACATTGTAAAATAAAATAAAGTAAAATAAAGTAAAATAAAAAATAATAAAACAAAATAATAAAACAAAATAAAAATAAAACAAAATAAAAATAAAACAAAACAAAATAAAAAATAAAACAAAACAAAATAAAAAATAAAGTAATAAAGCAAAATAAAGAAATAAAATAATAAAATAAATACAAATAAAATAAAATCTTTGCCTCTGCTAAAAAAAAAAAAGGCCCTCCCTCTGCTGTTGCTGTTTTCCTTTTCAAATTCCAGATGAGCAGGTTCCCTTATCTACCTGCTTTGGATCCCGTTCAAGATGCTAGTCCTGCAATTTTAAGGGTTAGCGTCTCGCCTCCTATCTGATAACTTTGCACCAAGTGGTGATTTCTGGATGCAAACAGGATATCCGAGCCTCTCTTCCCAACGCCGGGCCGGTTCTGCTGCACGCCCATTTCCTTCTGACGGAGGCGTTAAGCCCAGGGATAGAAAAGCAGGAAGGGGAAAATATAATGGATTTGGCCGGCAATTTTCCTGACTCTTACGCAGCCGCCAGGCTCCGTGATGTCAAAAGTTGGCATTTGTAGGTTGGTGTGAGCCTGGTCCTCAGAAATAGCTCTTATCCCCTCCGGACAGAGAGGTGGGCGGCATATAAATTTAACAATAATGATTGCTCTTTAAAATTCAGAGTAGCACCTGCCACCTAACCCCCCCCCCTCCACAGACCTAACAATTGTCAGTAACCAATCAATCAATCAGAATAAGAGCTGGAAGGGACCTCGGAGGTCTTCTAGTCCAACCCCTTGCTCAAGGCAGGAGACCCTAGGCCATTTGAGACAAATTGGCCTGTCCGGTCTCTTCTTCACAACCTCCAGGGATGGCGCAGCCACAACGTCTGGCAAAACAAACCCTCTAGATAGTGGACATGGCAGACAGCAGAAGGGAAAGAACGGAAGGAGCTAACAAAGAACACAAAGACCCGCAAACAGAAACAGAACAACAGGTTTGGCAACACCCTGAATTTTTTCAGTGCAGCTTTTGACCCGCAAATGCCTCGCAATCTTGTCGTGCAACTTCTCGTTGAAAGGGAGGACGCACCGGAAAAGCTGAGACTATTAAGATGGCCAAGAGACACACTCTTAACACTTTATTTTTAATTTGAGGTTGCTTAGAACGAGAGCCAGGCGCTCGCTCTCTCTCTCTCTCTCTCTCTCTCTCTCTCTCTCTCTCTCTCTCTCTCTCTCTCTCTCTCTCTCTTTCTCTCTCTCTCTCTCAAAAATAATAGGTGTTGAAGCAAATGTGATATTTATTCATCTAATTTATACAGCTGCCCACCTTTGCAAGCAAGTGACGAACTGTCTGATACGGTCACTTCCCTTTGCTGGCTAAACCGCTGGCAGCCACTAGATGGCGCCCAAGGATTGTAAATTCAGGAAAAATCGGGCCAGTTCTGTATTACTTCCTAGGAGTTGCAGCCAGCCAGCCAAGCAGGCAGGCAAGAAGGGAGGGAGGGAGGAACAGAAAGAAAAAGAGAAAGAGGGAGGGAGGGAGGGAGGAAGAAAAAGAGAAAGGGAGGGAGGAAGGGAGGAAAGGAAGAACAGAGAGAAAAAGAGAAAGAGGGAGGGAGGGAGGAAGAGAGGAAGGGAGGAAGGGAAGAACAGAGAGAAAAAGAGAAAGAGGGAGGGAGGGAGGAACAGAAAGAAAAAGAGAAAGGGAGGGAGGAAGGAAGGAAGGAAAGGAAGAACAGAGAGAAAAAGAGAAAGAGGGAGGGAGGGAGGAACAGAAAGAAAAAGAGANGAAGGGAAGAACAGAGAGAGAAAAAGAGAAAGAGGGAGGGAGGGAGGAACAGAAAGAAAAAGAGAAAAGGAGGGAGGAAAGGAGGAAAGGAAGAACAGAGAGAGAAAAAGAGAAAGAGGGAGGGAGGGAGGAAGGGAGGAAGGGAAGAACAGAGAGAGAAAAAGAGAAAGAGGGAGGGAGGAACAGAAAGAAAAAGAGAAAGGGAGGGAGGAAGGAAGGAAAGGAAGAACAGAGAGAGAAAAAGAGAAAGAGGGAGGGAGGGAGGAAGAGAGGAAGGGAAGAACAGAGAGAGAGAAAAAGAAAGAGGGAGGGAGGGAGGAACAGAAAGAAAAAGAGAAAAGGAGGGAGGAAAGGAGGAAAGGAAGAACAGAGAGAGAAAAAGAGAAAGAGGGAGGGAGGGAGGAAGAAAGGAAGGGAAGAACAGAGAGAGAAAAAGAGAAAGAGGGAGGGAAGGAGGGAAAAAGGGAGGAAGGAAAGAAATACATGGAGTTGAAAGTAGTTTCCCAATTACCATGTGTGTATGTATGTATTTATTTATATATGAAAGTTATGGGATTAAAAAATAACCTTACAACATTAAACGTTAAAAAATCATTTTTCCCCCCCTCTGTGCTTGGACATTGCCAAGTTGCAACTGAAAGCGACAGAAAACAAGGCCGACCAAAAACAGGCTTGGAAAAAAATCCCTGCCAAAGTTAATCATTCATCTTTTAAAAGTTGACCTTAAAAAGCAATAACAATTAACCCAACCCTGTTGTGTTGCTGTCTTGTCTTAAGTCTGACTGTTCTTCCAGCCGGAGATTTGTTCCAGCCTGGTTCGCCCAAAAAAATAAAATATACTTTTCTGGATTTCTTTTTCGTACAGAGAATATGATACGCATTTCTGGCCTACGTATAATTTCAGAGCATGGGTTTTTTGTTGTTGTTGTTGTTTTTTACTAGTGCAAGCTGATTAATTTTTATAATGCGGGCAGTCCTTCGGTTATGACCACGAAGGAGCCCACTATTTCTAGCGTTACGCGAGACATCTGTTAAGTGAATTTTGCCCCATTTTATGACCCGTCTTGCCACGGTTTTTAAGTGAATCGCGGAAGTTCTTCATTTTAGTCACAGGGTTGTTCATTGAATCTGGCTTCCCTGTTACAAGAGGTTGCAAAATAGGATCACGTTCTCCCGGGACACTGCGACCGTCGTAAATGTGAGTCAGTTGCCCAGATCACATGACTGCGGGACGCTGCAAAGGGCATTAAGGGTGAAAAATGGTCCTAAGTCACTTTTTTTCTTGTAACTTCGGACGGTCACTTAACAAACTGTTGTAAGTTTGTTGTAAGGAATGCTCCAACACTGGAAGTTTTTAAGAAGAGACTGGACAGCCATTTGTCCAAAATGGTATATACAATAGGGTTTCCTGCCTGAGCAGGGGGTTGGACTAGATGACCTCAAAGGTCCCTTCCAACTCTATTATTATTATTATTATTATTATTATTATTATTATTATTATTATTATTATTATTATTATTATTATTATTATTATTATTACTAAAGAAGTCACGGGCTAGCAATATCCCCCCTTCGCTTGCTAAATCTCCACCTTTTAACGTCTCACCATCTCATTTATAAATAAATTGTCCGGTTCAGGAAAAGATTTGATCATAAATGTTCCATCAGAAAAAACAACAACAACAACCTGAAGATATTTCTCTCCCCTATTTGTGTTATTTTCTGAGCACAACCTGCTGGGATAAGTGTGCTGATGCGGTTAATTTTTTCTCGCTGGGAGAACAGTTGGGGGGAAAAAAATAAATACGTGTTTTGTATGGCACCGCTCACAACAGGGAGAGAATCAAAAATCTCTCCGCAGGAATGAATGCCTGGCTGCAAAGATTGGCTTTAAAAGGCCGGTTTAAAAGGAGGGGGAGGCCCAGGAAAAGTTGCCCTCAACAAACAGAGATAAGAGTGGGGTTACAACATGCCTCCCTTCACCCGGAGGAGATAAGGCAGGGGTTGCAAAAAAGCCTTTATTCTGCATTTCCTGCTGGGCCAGCCCTAAGGAGGGAAATTTTGGAATTGCGCAGCTGAAAAAGGCAGCCTTGGAAATATGCTCTAAAAGTGACACATCGTCCCTGGATCCTGGCTTAATCGGCCTCCAACTCGGCTTGTTTGGGTTCGCTTTCAAGCCTGCAGGCCTTAAAATCCACGGCCAGGGAGGTTTTAACAGAATAACAGAGTCAGACGGGACCCTGGAGGTCTTCTAGTCCAACCCCCTGCTCAAGCAGGAGACCCTATGCCATTTCAATCAATCAATCAATCAAAATAGAGCTGGAAGGGACCTTGGAGGTCATCTAGTCCAGCCCCGTTCAAGCAGGAGACCCGCCTAGACGATTCCAGACAAACGGTTGTTCAATCTCTTCCTTCCGTTTTGCTGGGCCCTGCCGTAGTTTTGGCCTGCTCATCTTCGCGATTGTAGTAATCCAGGTCAGGGGTGCGAATGTGAGCAAGGTGTGTGTTCACATCTTCACAAGAGGCTAGTGTGCGGTGCGAGAGCCACACGCAAAGACCTCCAAAGGGGGCATTCGGGCACATCAAACCGAGGTCGAGGACTCCGTGTCTTCTGGGGAAGTCAGCTCAGGTCAAGGGAAAGGCCTCAGGGGTGGAGAGAGCCGGGTTCAGATCCTCCCTCTGAGCCTGGTCAACTTTGGCAAGTTTAAGAGGTGTGTGTGTGGGGGGGGACTTCAACTCCCAGAATTCCCTGGCTGGGGAATTCTGGGAGTGGAAGTCCACCTCTCTTAAAAGTTGCTGAAATGTGGAGGGGGGGAGAAATACCTGAGCCCACCCCAAAGAACCCCCCTCCCCCACTGGAGAGAGCTTCAGAACCAGAACCGGCTCTGATCCGAGTCCTCCAGCGGGACCCCCGACCGGCCTCGCCCAGCCTGGGGGAGGGATCTGGGTCGGGAGACCCCCGGAGGGGGGAGAAGCCCCCCCCTTGCGCGAGAGGGGAGGGCTCGGGCAGGATTCGCGCCGGGCGCCCGCTTGCAAAAGCCAAGGAGGGGCGGGGCCATCTGGGGGCGGCGCTGCAGGGGAGGAGGGCGAGCCCACCCCCCCCAGCGGGGCCAGGGAGGGAGGGGCGGGGCCAGGGGGCGGAGCTCGCCCTCCCCTCCCCTCCCCTTCCCACCCCCCCCGGGCGCCGTTGCTGTCACTCCGCGCTGCTTTATAAAACCTGCTCCGCGCAGCCCTGCCAGACCTCGATCCGGAGTGAAGCCCGATCCGCAGCGCCAGCCCAACCGATCCGTGCAAGGCAGACCCCCCCCCACCCTCACCCCCCACCCCCCGGGCTAATTCCTCCAGGGCTGTCCCGGGACAACCGCGGGGACCCTCTTGGCCAAAAGTCGGGGAGGGGGGCTCCAGAACCAGAAGCCACCCCCGCCCGCCCGCCCTTGGACCCTCCTGCAAAACCAGCCCCCCCCCCGAGGGAGCGAGTTTCGGGGGTCTTTGCGGCTTGGAACCCTCCGGGAGGGGGGGCGCTTGGGCAGGGGGTCTTGGGGGCTCCGGGGGAGGGTCGGCTTGGGCAGGGGGCACCCGGGAGGGGGATCGGCTTGGCCAGGGGGTCTTGGGGGGCGCTGGGTGGGCTTGGCCAGGGGGTCTTGGGGACTCCGGGAGGGGGATCGACTTGGCCAGGGGGTCTTGGGTGGGCTTGGCCAGGGGGTCTTGGGGGGGGTCCGGGCGGGGGATTCGACTTGGCCAGAGGGGGGGGTCTTGGGGTCCACGACCTCCGCCCAACGTCCCGCTCGGCTCCCGGGGGGCTGCCCAGGATGGGGTGGGGGCGGCTGGGCGCGGCGCTGCTGCTGCTGCTCGGCCAGATGTTGCTCCAGACGGCCAGGGCGCTCCTGGGCCGCCTCCTGCCGGCCAAGCCCCGCGACCTGGCCGCCGACTGCGTGCTGATCACCGGCGGCGGACGAGGCATCGGGCGCGCCCTGGCTCGCGAGTTCGCCCGGCGCGGCGCCCGCAAGGTGAGCCTGGGGAGGGGGGGTCAGCTGCGGGGAGGGGGAGGAGAAGGGGCTCCGCGAGACCGCCCCCCTCCCCAAGGAAGCCTTTTGGGGGTCCGCAAGACTCACCCCTATTCCCGGGCCGCGCTGGGCCCCCCAAAAAGTGGCCTGAAGCTTGCCCGGTGCCCGGTTCGAATCCTGCCGCTGCAAATGAAGTGAAGTTCCTGACGTTGGGGACGATTAACCAGCGGAACGGCCGGCCTCCGGAAATTGTGGGGGCTCCGACACTGGAGGCTTTTAAGAAGAGACTGGACAGCCGCTTGTCTGAAAAGATCTAAGGTCTCCTGCTTGAGCAGGGGGCTGGACTGGAAGACCTCCAAGGTCCCTTCCAGCCCTATTTTGATTGATTGATTGATTGATTGATTGAAATGGCCCAGGGTCTCTTGCTTGAGCAGGGGGTTGGACTAGAAGACCTCCAAGGTCCCTTCCCACTCTTGTTATTCTGTGAAAACCTCCTGGCCGTGGACTTTAAGGCCTGCAGCTTGAAAGCGAACCCAAACAAGCCGAGTTGGAGGCTGATTAAGCCAGGATCCAGGGACGGTGTGTGTCACTCTTAGAACACATTTTCAAGGCTGCCTTTTAAGCTGCGCAATTCCCCTTTGGAGGGGGGGGCTCCTTTGCACCCCAAAACAGCACTCAGCGAATGGGATTTTGGGTGGGTGGGTGGGGGCTGCAGCTGTATGAAACTGTCTTGGTCTGTTTGTGGGGTTCGGGTTAGTTGCTGGCGAGGCTCCCGGCAAAGACGGGGGGGGGGGGGGGGGGGGAGAAGAATCGCAGTCAAGTCTCTACTTGAGCAAGGAAAGCATTTAGTTGTGGGTGGGTGTGTTTGCAGGCGTGCGTGCCTGGGGAGGGGGTGTGTGTAAATCTCATACCTTTAAACATCAGAGAGATGCCTTAAGAGGAGATTCTTGTTTCGGCTTGCCGAAAGCAAAGGAGAGATTTGTGGGCAGCTAAGGAGATCTTGTTGTGTGTGTGTGTGTGTGTGTGTGCTTTTGTTTAACCTATCGAAAATAACTTCATCCTTTGAAGTTTGATCGCCCAGAACCGGATTGAGTCATGTGGCTAAAACGCAGGTAATTCCTCGGCTTACGAACCACGACGGAGCCCAGATTTTCTGTGGTCGAGGGAGGTGTGTGCGGAGCGGGTTTTGCCCCGTTTTACGACCTTTCCTGCCACCGTTGTTAAGGGGATCCCTGCGGTTGTTAGGTTAGGAAAGGGGATCTTTTTAAAAAAAATCTCCAGTGTTGGAGCACTCACAACTTCTGGAGGCAAGCTGTTCCTTCCACCCGTCCGTCCATCCATCCACACCTTCTCTTGCAGATTATCCTCTGGGGCCGGACGGAGAAATGCCTGCAAGAAGCCACGCAGGAGATTGGAGCGATGGGCGCCGAGGGCCACTATTTCGTCTGTGACGTGGCCAATCGGGAAGAGGTTTACCAGCAGGCCAAGGCCGTCCGGGAAAAGGTGAGTTGGGGGTCACTGTTGCCCAGGCAAAAAGGGCTAGGTCGTTAAATGGAGACTTACACGGACAGCTCTGATTTTATGGCCTCCCTTCCCTTCCCATCACATCTTTCCTTCCTTCCATCCATCACATCATTCCTTCCCATCCATTGCATCTTCTTCCTTCCTTCAACCATCCATTTATTCATCATATCCTTCTTCCCTCCCATCCATCACTTCCTTCTTTCCTTCCTTCCTTCCATCCATCCATCCATCCATCCATTACATCTTCCTTCCCATCCATTGCATCTCCTTCCTTCCTTCCATCACATCCTTCCTTTCAATCCATCCATTTATTCATCACATCCTTCTTCCCTCCCATCCATCACATCTTTCCTTTCTTCCTTCCTTCTTTCCTTCCTTCCATCCATCCATCCATCCATTACATCCTTCCTTCCCATCCATTGCATCTCCTTCCTTCCTTCCATCACATCCTTCCTTTCAATCCATCCATTTATTCATCACATCCTTCTTCCCTCCCATCCATCACATCTTTCCTTCCTTCCTTCCTTCCTTCCTTCCTTCCCCTTCCCTTCCCTTCCCTCCCCTCCCATCCCATCCCTCCTTCCTTTCCGTCTCTCCAGGTGGGAGATGTCACCATCCTAGTGAACAATGCAGCGGTTGTCCATGGCAAGACCCTCATGGACAGTGATGACCACGCCCTGCTGAAATCACAACACATCAACACCCTGGGGCAGTTCTGGGTACGGACACCCCTTTTCCCTTCTGGGACAGGCTGACTATGGAACGGGCCCCGCCGGGAGGGGCACCCTGAAACGGCTGCCCAGCACCAAAGGGTGTGGGACCGTGGACACTGTAGGAGAGACGGATGGAAGGAGGGGGGTCTTGCCCAAAAGACTGGCTGGCATGCTGCCCCTTTGCCCGCCCCAAGCCCCCTGTGCCAACTCTGTTTCGCCCTCTTAGACCACCAAGGCCTTCCTGCCACGGATGCTGGAACTACAGCGAGGACATATCGTTTGTCTCAACTCTGTCCTCGCCTTGTCGGCCATTCCTGGCGCCGTGGATTACTGTACCTCCAAAGCTTCTTCCTTTGCCTTCATGGAGAGTTTGACCCTCGGACTCCTGGACTGTCCAGGGGTCAACGCCACCACGGTCCTGCCCTTCCACACCAGCACGGAGATGTTTCAAGGCATGCGGATCAGGTGGGTGCCGATAGAATTTGACTCGATTCCCCGTCGCTTAAGACCATTTTTTCCCCCAACTTCGGTCAACTATGACTTGTGGACTTCAATTCCCAGAATTTCACAGCCAGTGGTTTTCTGGCTGGGGAATTCTGGGAGTTGAAGTCCCTGCATCTTATAAATCCCACTCATCTTATATCTTATTTTGCCAAGGTTGAGAAACATTGAACTAAAGAATTCTCCTCGAAGCTATTGGAGAAACAAACGAATGTCAGAATTTGAAGGACTTTTCGGGCACGGGAATGGTGGTCTTTGCGGACAGAAGATGCCGCAAAGAGGCATTTTCTGCTTTGGGCATTTTCTGTCCCCTGGATGGTGTTGGCACCCACAAAACAGCTGGTAGTGACAGCTCTGGAAAGCTGTCTAGAGAAGAGGAAGAGGGAAGGGGGAGACTCTAGGAGAAAATAATCTGGCGGGATTGATACAATCCACAAAAATGGATTGTTGGAAATACCCAGCAATGGTTCAGGTTTCGGAGGAGACAAATTTAAAAACCGAAGCGGCAGTCATTTATAAGGCTGTCGTAAGGCGAGGACGTTCTGCATCCAGTACCTTGGCTTAAATAAAAAGAAGAATGGATGCAAATTCCTGCAAGGATAAAAAAAAGAGAGAGAAAAGATAAAGAGCTCGGTTGCGTCACCCTCGCCTTCTGAAGACGGGTTGAGCATGTTGTGTGAAAGCTAATCCAAATTGCAGGATGCTTGGAAGTCAGCCTTGGAGGGGTCCTTCTGAGGTGGACTTTGGTTTCTCCTCCAGGTTTCCCAATCTTTTTCCTCCACTAAAGCCGGAGATGGTGGCCCGAAGGACGGTAGAGGCCGTTCAGCGGAACCAAGCCTTCCTCCTGCTGCCGTGGACGATGCACATCCTAATTCTCCTGAAAAGGTAACTCTTCACTCAGGCACACAACTCTTCCAAGGAGATGTTGAACCTGGAACCTCTCTTTCCTTCCTTCCTTCCTTCCTTCCTTCCTTCCTTCCTTCCTTCCTTCCTTCCTTCCTTCCTTCCTTCCTTCCCTTTCCTTCCTTTCCTTCTTTCTTTCTTTCCTCCCTGCCTCCCTCCCTTTTCTCAAAAAATCCAAGAGCGTGTCAAAAGAAGAGTCGAGGCTTCCATCCTGTGGAGGGCAACCTCCGTCTTGACCTTTTCGCACCCCCTTCCTGCAGACCCCCCCTCCCAGACCTACTTCATGGGGGGATTCCTGGACCAAACAGACAGTGTTCCTTCCCTCCCAGTCCTAACATGCTTGCATTTCTGGCTGGGGTTTTCTTCTGCTCATCAGCCTTCCAGGAAAGGGGTGGGTGGGCCAAGAAGCCCAGTCCCCTTGCTACCGAAAGAGGGAAGGCAGCCAAGTTCCTGAAATCCGCTGGCTGCCTGCCAGGCAAGACCTACCACCCCATTCCTTGCCGCGTGTTAAAGCTGCCAAAAGTCTGATCCTCATCTAAAGCAGGGGTGAGGGGGGGGCAGAAGTGAAGCCCCCCTAGCTTTACCCACCAATTGCTGAAGAAGGCTAGCTCCTAACAGGAGCTTCTGGAGAACCACTTTAGCCAAAGCAGGTGGTCCTTCCGAGCTTATCCAGCCCTTCCCCAAGACTCAGACTTCTGAATTTCCTACCTGGTAGATCTATGGAGGTTCTCCATCAATCCAGGTCGTGGTTGTCCCAAAGATGCTTTTTTTTTCCTCCCCCCAAAAGTCAACTGGCTTTTCTTGTCCCCCCCCCTTGAATATATTTTGCTTCTCATCTCAGAAGCTTCTGAAGAACTTCTTCTGAACTTCTTCTGAGGACTGAAGAAGCTTCTTGGATGAGAAGTGAAAAGGTTTTCAAGGGGGAAAAAAACCAACCGACCAAGAACGTTGACTTTTGGAAAACCATCTTTGAGTATTTCTGTTGTCCGTGCCTGCAGATTGTAAGAAGCATCATGTTTCTCCAGTTTTTAAGTTCTTCCAAGATGCCAAATCCCATCTCTTCTTTCTTCCCTGGCAGCATCTTCCCACAAACGGCGCTGGAAGAAATCCACAGGTTTTCCGGGACTTACCACTGTATGAACACTTTCAAAGGACGGACTTAAACATGGATGGCCATCAGAACCTTGGTCTCCCTCCAGAGATGGGTCTCCCTCTTCTCCTGGGTTGCAAAGAGGTCTCCGAAGGATGGACCGGTCCACCCACCACGGAAGACCGAACAAACCAGAACCCACCAGGGCAATGTTCTTAGGGCTCCAAGGCTCCATCGTTTTTAGCTCGCGAGAAGTTTAGAGCTGTCCCTCAGCTGGAGGCATCTCAAGAGGGTTTCCATCACCTCCATTTTGAGTCTCTGGGATGACCAAGGAGGCCTGTTTTGGCTTCCACCACCCCATTTCCAGGCAAGAAGATGGCTCCCGAGGTCCTTCTTTGGAAAGAAAAGGAGTTTCGGTTGTCCTCGGCTGGCCCATCTTCACAGGAGGCATAAATGCCTATTTTTAGAGTTTCCATTTATTGGGATCTCCCAGGAAAGCTGCATCTCACCCACCATGGTCCCATTGAAGAGCGATGCGTTTTACGTGAACTTCAGATGGAAGGGTTCCCATTTCTGGCTGACGTCTCTGCTGTTGGAGAGACTCAACCTACGTTTACAAGACCCGCAGACACCCACCTCCTTCGCCCTACACAACTGTACGAGCTGCAAGGTGGACGGACGCTTGACCTCGATGGAGACCTCCTGAGCTATTGGTGGATGGACGCTTGACCTCGATGGAAACCTCCTGGGCTATTGGGCCTGACTGACAGCAGGGAGCAGCGAGTGGAGGGGAGGGAGGGAGGGAGAGAACCAGACTGTCTCCTGCCTTGGGCGGCGGAGGGGAGGGGGGGTCAGACTAGAAGATATCCAAGGTCCCACGCGGCCCTAGGATTCTGTCATTCTGCAGGGAGCCCATAAATCCAGGAAATATTTCTGGGAGAGTCTGTTTTTTTTTTTGGCTCTTGTGGTTCACTGTGAACAGCAGACCGGCTGCTGGCGCTTGCGTGTACGTGTGCCTAAACGTGGTCAAAGCACAGGGCGTCCTCAATTTACGACCCCCAAATTTATGTCGCTGAGAAATTCATGATGCCAAATTTTGTCCCGTTTTATGACCTTCCTTGCCCCTGTGGTTCAGTGAATCACTGCAGGTCTTAAGTTAGTCCCACGGGCTGCGGCATGCCAGCCACCGGTCCGCACAAACAAGCAGAGCTCTATCCACGGGATGCAGGCAGCACACCAAACCGCACACTCTCCGGTCTGCGAAAAAGGAGCCGGTCCCTGGTGCCCAAAAGGTTGGGGACCTCTGGACTAGAAGACCTCCAAGGTCCCTTCCAGCTCTGTTATTCTCTTATCCCCTCCTGGGGTCTGGCCTCTTCCCCCCATCCCCTCCCTCCCTTTTGCACTACCCGTACAAGTCAAAGGGTGAGTGAGCATCCAGGCTAGGCTGGGCGCCCGCCTCTAGCCCACGTCAGCCGGAGCGCGGAGTTCAGAGCAGGGTTAGCCAAACAGCCGATAAATTAAGCCGGAGGGAAGAGGCGGCTGGGCTGGGGATGAACTTTTCACCCGGGCGGGCTAACCTGTTCCTCCCCAGGGTGAGATACAGGTGGGGAGCCCTGGAGAGCCACCGTCTCAACGGGGAGGGACCAAAATCAAAGCAAGAGCACAAAGCCAAGAAGGCAAGAAGGAGCAACGCCCTGCCGGTTCCCAGGATTATGGTCTCGGAGGTGATTTCCACGGCTTTGCTGGCTTTGGCAGCCCGGGGCAGGTGAAGAGCTGTGCCAATAGCCCCGCCTCAAATTCCTCTTCTTTAAGCAAAAAGTTGAAGCAAATTCCTCTTAAGCGTAAAGTTGAAGCAAATTCTTCTTCTTTAAGGGAAAATGGGGTTTTTTGCCCCATGTTGCGACCTTTCTCGTCGAGGGAATTGTTGGTGACTTGAGTAGCCCGGTTGTGAAGTGACCCTGGCTTCCCCCATGACTTTGATGGCCAGAAGGTCCCCAAAGAGGATCCGCGTGGAACCTGTGACCGTCGTAACTCTTGAGTCAGTGGCCAAGCGTCCGAATCTTGATCACGGGATTGTGGGGATGGTGCAACGGTCGCCAAGTGTGAAAAAACAGTCCTAAAGCCACATTTTTTTCAGTGCCGTTGTAAACTTTGGATTGTCACAATTGAGACGACCTTGGTGGTTTTCTTGCGGACGTTGCGTTACCCAACTAGGGAACATTATCAGTGCTGGAAGGGAGTGCCGTGTGCTCTCTTTATATACTAGTGGCTTGCCGTATGTTAAATGAGGGGAAACCCAACTCCGTTCTGGCACTGATGATGTTCCCTAGTTGGGTCATGAAATGTCTGCAAGAAAACAGCCAAGCTCAGAGAGCACCAAGGACACCATAGTCAGTCCTTCCTTCCTTCCTTCTTTCTTTCTTTCTTTCTTTCTTTCTCTTTCTTTCTTTCTTTCCTTCCTTCCTTCTAGCACTGATGATGTTCCCTAGTTGGGTCACGAAACGTCTGCAAGGAAACCACCCAGCTCAGCGAGCACCAAGGACACCACAGCCACCCTTCTAACCTCTACACAACACACCAGAAAAAGGGAAATTTCCCTCTCGGCTTCACACTCTTTCCAAGACAGGATTTCAGCCTGATTTTTCATTTTTCTCCTCTTCTTCTTTTTTCTTCTTCTTCTTCTTCCTAGCTCGCTCCCTCTCTTTCCCGCCTGGCGGAAAGGAAGAAAGAAAAAGACACAGGACTCCCAAATGGGGGGGGGGGGAATGGGAGTGGAAGGGGGGGGGGGGGCGCAGGGAAAACCCAGGGCTCAGCAAATCCATTGTGTTGTGCTGACAGGGAGAAACTGTTACTACACACTTCAGCTGCCAAGTCCCCTGTGCCACTCAATCCATCATGGTAGGTCACAGGCCGGTGAAATGCAGGCCGGCCGGCTATTTTTGGCTAAGCGAGACGGTGAGATAAACGGGGCATGAACCAGCCCCCCAGCAGGGGGGGGGAGACCCCCTCGTACCCTCATTAAAGTGTCAATCAAAGAGAGTAATGGCCCGAGGGGAAGGCTGGCGGCATCGCTTGCTCCCCGCTGGCTGGCGTTTCCCAGGCCCAGCAGCCTGAAACCCCGGAGGCACGTCTGTGGGGGCGCAGGGGGGGGGGCACGGCCTGGTGGGGAAAGGTCAGATTAAAGGCCGCCTGGAGGCTGAGACTTAGGAAGAACAGTTGCCGGATTTGGGGTTTGGCTAGTCTAGAGAAAAGAAGAACGAGCAGTATTCCAGTATTTGAGGGGTGCCAAAAAGAAGAGGTTAATTTATTTTCCAAAGCCCCAGAAGGCAAGACAAGAGCAGGGGGTTGGACTAGATGACCTCCAAGGTCCCTTCCAACTTTATTATTATTATTATTATTATTATTATTATTATAATACTATTATTATTAAGAAACAGTGGATGGGAACTAATCAAGGAGCACCCACATCTTGTGGTGGCAAGCTGTTCCGCTGGTTAATTCTTTCCACTGGTAGGAAGTTTCTCCTTAATTCCACGTTGCTTCTCTCCTTGGTTAGTTTCCATCCGTTGGAAAATAGGTTGACAACCCCCCCCCCCCATCTTCGTGGCAGCCCCTCAAATACTGCAACGCTGCTATCACGTCACCCCAGTCCTTCTTTTCATTAAACGAGACATCCCCAATTCCTGCAACCGTCCTTTGTTATGTTTTGTCCTTCAGTCCCCCTGATCATCTTCGTTGCTCTTCTCTGCACTCTGATTCCAGAGTCTCAACGTTTTTTTTAATATCGTGGTCACCAAAACTGGATGCAATAATCCAAGTGTGGCCTTACCAAGGCCTTGTAAAGTGGTATTAACGCTTCACCTGATCTCGATTATATCCCTCGGTTCATGCCGCCTAGGACCGTGTTGGCTCTTTCGGCAACTGCCGGACGCGGCTGGCTCCTATTTAAGCGATTATCCACTAGGACTAGGTAGAATTTTTCTACTTTGGGGAAGGGTGGGGGGGGGGGAAATGGGGAAAAGGGAGGTATTTTAAGCTACGAGCCTCGGTTGCACTCTTGTTTGTTCGCTTAGCCCAATGTCCACACGGATCTCACAGCAAGACATTCTCGCTGGAATCGTATTTTGCAGAAATACGGCGGAGTTGGCCCTTTGCTTGTGGCCTTCTCTTATCCCGGGGCTGCCAAAAGTACATTTTTTTCCCCCAAACCCCTCCCTCCCTCCCTCCCGATCACTCTTTTTTTGGCTCTCCAAACAAATTCTTTGGCAGGTATGTAAATCCGAGGCGCGCCTGTCCTGCTTTGTGCTTTTGCGAGGCTTGTGACGGAGGCTGCAAAATGCCACTTGTAAACGAGGAGAAAACTGTGAGTCTTCTTTTAGGCATGGGGGGGGGGAAGTAGCTGGCTGGCTTTGGCCGGTCGCTTCCGCTCAGCCCAAGCCAATCGATCGGAGTAAGAGCTGGAGGGGGCCTTGGAGGTCTTCTAGTCCAGCCCCGCCCCCGCTCGAGCAGGAGAACCTAGAGCATTTCAGACAAGTGGCAGTCCAGTTCTCTTCTTAAAAACCTCCAGTGATGGAGCTCCCACGACTACTGTGGAAATAACTGCAAGATTCCAGGAGCAGTCGTGTTTTTTTTTTCTTTTTTCTTTAATTCATCCTCAGGGTCAGATTGCAGGTGGTTTTTTTTGTTTTTTTTTGCAATATTACATTTCTAAACCGGCATTCTCGTTCGGTCTCCTTAAAACTCCCCTTCCCCCAATCCGGATGCCGGAAAGCAAAATTTAGCCTGGTCCTGGGCAGGACTGAGTGGGCAACCCTCTCTCGCCCAAGGAGATCAGGAACCCCCCTGCCCTGTCCTGTCCTGAGATGCCCAAATTCTGGCCAGGCTGCCCCAAGGGGGAGGGAGGCTAAGGGTCTCTCCGCCCCCCCCCCTGCTCTTATCTCTTTGTGGCTTCCAGGGAAAGGAAGAGGGGGAAAAAAATGCCCTTTCCCCAAATGCTCAAAATCAGTGCAATATAACTTTCTCCTATCATTTCTTTACACGAAAAAGACTTTTATACAACCTCGCCGGTGTGTAAGGTACGTGTATCAAGAGATACATCTACACATCATACACACAAGTATATATATATATATATATATACTATATATACACAAATGGTTAAGAAAATCCCAGGTTTTTTTTCCCCCTCTTAATGGGTCTCCAGTGTTGGTGACTCTGAGCGGCCCGCAGCGCAAGATTGTTTTTTTTCCCCTGCAGACTTTTTTTTAAAGCTTCTCTGCTTCACCCAAAGCTTTCCCTATTCCTACGCCCTGGGGAGGGGCCAGATTCTCTGACTGAGCTGAAGGAGGGTGTGTGTGTGTGTGTGTGTCCCCACATTTTCTCTGGGTCAGGAATCCAATTCTAACTGTTCCTGGTGTTCGCTGGACCGGAGCATCAGCTGCTGTTCGTAGAAAAGGCTCTTTGCATAGTTGATTTCTTGGCAGAGACGGACGGCCACGTCCTCCGCTGATACGTGCACCTGGGGGGGGGGGGGGAGAGAGAAAACAACCAGGGCTGCTTTTAAAAAAATAAATATAAATCTAATAAAATATATTTTAAATTTTTTTTTAAAAAATAGTCCTCACGATCAGCTCGCTGGCTGAGAACTTCAGATAATCCTCGACAACCTATTCTATTCTATTCTATTCTATTCTGTTCTGTTCTGTTCTGTTTTATTATTATTATTATTATTAATTATTATTATTATTATTATTATTATTATTATTATTATTATTATTATTATTATTATTATTATTATTATTTTCTATTCTATTCTATTCTAAATGTCTATTCCTGCATTATTCTATTCTATTCTATTCCATTCCATTCCATATTTTCTATTCTATTCTATTCTATTCCATTCCATATTTTCTATTCTATTCTATTCTATTCTATTCTATTCTATTCTATTCTATTCTATTCTATTCCATTCCATTCCATTCCATTCCATTCCATTCCATATTTTCTATTCTATTCTATTCTATTCTATTCTATTCTATTCTATTTCTACTCTATTTCTATTCTATTCCTGTCTCGCTTAACAATGGAAATTTCAGGCTCAACGACGGCCATAAGTCGAGGCCTACCTTTTCACAAGAGTTTTCCCCAAAACCCCGTGAGTTCCTCTCCCAAGCCAAATTATTTCACTCTGAGCCCCCCGCCTCCCTTCCATGCCAACAAAGCAAACCCTCCAAGCGGCCGCTCACCATGGGCTTCTGATGCGACGGGCCGGGCATCGCCACGCCGCTGGCAGAGTTGACAGCTTTCTTGGTCAGCTGGACGTAGACCTGTCCGTGGTCCCTGGAGATAAGGCAGTGGTAGAGGTCGTCGTACTTGACCTCCAGGAAGATGGCCTCCCGGTCCATGGCATCCCCGCTCTTGAGGAAGTAAACCGCTTTGGAAGAGATGATCACGCAGTAGCGGTCGACGTTCTCCACCGCGATGAAGCTGGGCAAGGAGAGAAGGGCTCTGGGCTCATCCTGGGCCTACATTTCCCAGAATTCTCTGCTCCGGCAGAAGTTTACAACCTGCAGCTGGTCAAGCTGAGAATCTTGACCCCTTTCGTCCCCCGTCCCCCCGGGACGCTGCAACCGTCATCAACACGAGTCGGTCGCCAAGCGTCTGAATTTGGATCGCGTGACCACGGGGACGCCGTTAAGTGAGAAAATGGGTCCTGGGTCGCCTTTTCCCAGTGCTGCTGTAACTTTAAACAGTCACTCACTGAATTATTGTTACTTGCGGTGCCCGTTTTTGTCGTGGGAAACCCCAGACTCTCCCCGCCCGGACCCCATCCCTAATTAAATTCTTGTGATTTGATTTTTTTCCCCCTTTTCTTTAAAAAAAAAAAGTCCTAGTGATCTGCATATTTTTCTTCGGAGTTAAATCTCTAAAAGAAAAAAAAAGTTTTTGGTTTTTTTTCCCCCCCTTCAAAATATCTTAGTTCTCCTGTACTAAGTGATTCCACATTGTTTTCCCTAGCTAAGTTCCCTGTTCCACTTCTGAAAAACATTGCTGAGTAATTCAATTACTTTCGGGTGTGTGTGTGTTTGTGTGTGTGTGTAAAACTAAGTCTGCTTATTTCTGGACACCGAGTAAGCTCTCCGGCGCAAGACGCCCCTGGTGATCCCTAAAATCTTTGCCAGCTTTTCAACCCAGCTAGTTGCAAATCCAAAAATCTCAGCAAATGCAACCGCCCCCCTCAAAAGCAGCAAATAAAAATCAAATTTAAATAAATTGACAGGGAATTTATGGCCCCAATGCCCACCCCAAAAAACTCTGCCTCCGGCAGAAGTCACATTGATCGTGGAATTGCCGGGAATGCGACCGTCGTAAGTCGGGGACTCCCTGCCAGGCCGCAGCGAGGCTGCCCGCGAGGATTGCGTCCCCTCCGAGGGGAACCGCCTACCCGGTGTACTTACAACTCATCCTGAATGTTGTCCGTCAGCTTGAAGAGGATCTCCTGCCCCTCCGCCTGGCTCTCTGAGTAGCGGGGCAGCAGGCCTTGCGGCCCCCGGCAACACCGCGGCTTCCGTATCCGCTCGGCCTGGGTCCTGTCAATCACACAGAGGAAGGACGGGGTCACTTGGGGCAGCACAGGGGCTGGGGCCGAGGGGTCAAAGGCCAAGGGCGTCTCCAGGTTCCACGTCCAGGAAGTGCTTGACTTATAATAATAATAATAATAATAATAATAATAATAATAATAATAATAATAGTAGTAGTAGTAGTAGTAGTAGTAGTAGTAGTAATAGTAGTAGTAAAGTTGGAAGGGACCTTGGAGGTCATCTAGTCCAACCCCCTGCTCAGGCAGGAAACCCTATACCATTTCAGACAAATGGCTGTCCAGTCTCTTCTTAAAAACCTCCAGTATTGGAGCATCCACAACTTCTGGAGGCAGGTTGTTCCACTGGTTAATTGTTCTAACTGTCAGGAAGTTTCCCCTTAGTTCTAGGTTGCTTCTCTCCTTGATGAGTTTCCATCCGTTGCTTCTTACAACGGCTCGTTTAGTGACTGTTCGAAATTACATCGGCGCCAAAAAAAGCGACCCTGGATTCACTGAACAACCGTGTTACTAACAATTCGCTTTGTGACCAAAGCTATTTATCAGGACCGGAAAAAAACAACCGAGGGCCGTTTTTCGCACTGCATTCCCCGTGGACACGGGATCAAAATTCAGATGCTCGGCAAACGGACTCGTATTTATGACGGTGGCGGCCTTCCCGGTGTGTGTGTGTGTGTGTGTCACACGATCCCTCCCCCCGTTTGCGACTTTCTGACCGGCAAAGTCAACAGGGATTCCCTCAACCACCCTATTACTAACTTTAAGAATGGCAGCGATCCGCTTCGCGACGGTGGCAAAACCCAGCGAGCGAACGTCTCACGGGGCGACCTAAATTTTGGTGGGTTCACTTGTGGCCGTAAGTTGAGGACTGGGTGTCCGATGGCAGCAGAAGAAAAGGACAGGGAAGGAAGAACTGGGTGGCAGAAGGCTTGAGGGCTTCCCGGGAACATCTAGGGCACGGGAAGAAGGGGTGTGTGTGTTTGTGCCAGGCCAGGGTGCCCATATTTGCAGAGCCATGCGAAGGAGGAATTGCCTCTGACTAGCACACAACTCTTTTTGTCTGTTTTGTTCTGTTCTCTGGCACGGCCTGTCCTCTGGCTCCCCACCAGCTTGGCTGGTTCCCCCCCCTCCCCGTGTCCCCCCCCTCCCACCCTCCACGGTTCACCCAGAGTAGCATCCAACTCTCCCAGCGCAAAGTGTTCACTTCCTTCCAGGAGTGGATATCACAGTTCCAAAGCCAAAAGCCAAGGGACAGATGCATCACAAACCAGGGGAGGGAGGGAGGGAGGGAGGGAGGGAACCTGCCAAGCAGGCAGAACTTGAACTCGGGATACGGCCAAGGAGAAAAGACAACGCCACCCAGCCCTCTCCTTTCAGGCTGGGCCAGTTTGCAGGCACATAACAGACGTGAAAAGTTAAAACACTTTTGTGCAAAGAAAGGAAAAAAAATTGCGCTCTTCTTTCCAAAGGCCACGTTCAAGAATTTGCACGTCGTCCTTGGCTTACAGCTGTTCGTTTAGCGACCGTTCAGAGTTACGACGGCACGGAAAAAAAGGGAAGAAGGACCTTTTTTTGGGACACGTGCCACCTTTGATGTGTCCCCCTCCCCGATCATGTAATCAAAATTCAGATGCTTGGCAACGGGTTCATACTTACGACCGTCGCTGTGTCCCAAGGTCACGTGATCCCCTTTTGATAAGCAAAGTGAATGGGGGGACGCCGGATTCATTTAACAACCGCGCTGCCGACTTATCCACCGCGGTGATTCATTTAACAACAAGGGGCAAAAACTCCCTTGACACATGTCTCGCTCAACAAAGCGGTGGTAGGTTGAGGACCGTCTGCACACGCACCCTCCAGACACAGCCTGTGCCAGACGTCTGGATCGGAGTCGCTGAATGAGGCAGGATGATAACTTAAATAAACAACAGTGGAGTTGTCCACAAACGTTGCAAAAATAGCAACTGTGGAAGGAATTCTCGGATAAATCCCCCAAATAAATGGGATTGCTGGACTAATAAATAATGTATAGGCAGAATTGCCAGCCCGATCAAACCGTCACTATCCTAGTTTGCATGGCTATCTCGGCCTAACATGGTTTAAATGTTGTTAAGACCCTTTTTTTCTCCCGTTTCCCCCCCCCCCCAGTCCTGGATGCTGTAAACAATGAACTGTGAGCTTTTGGCAACTGCTTTTATTTGAGCTGGATGAGAAAATAAACATTGCACAGCTCTTGAATATTAGGACGATTTAAACTCCGGTTTGTCTGGCTGCCTTCTGCAAATAAAGAGCACTTGGTGTGTGTGTGTGTTTGTGTGTATGTGTGTGTGTGTCTGCGCAAGCGTGCAACATACAAAAAGATGCAAATGCAATTTTTTTTTAAAAAGGAGCCAATTAAATGCACGGTGAGTTGTTTGCATCTAGGTTTTATTAAACCCAGCTCCCCATTCATTGACTGATTCCCCTTGGAAAGGCACACACAAGCTTGGGGAGGGCTTTAAAAAAAATGGAGGGTCAAAAAAAAATGCAGAGATGGGGGTGTGGGGGGGGGGAACAGCTTGAACAGAAAACTACTGTTCCAACACAGCCTTGGAGGTTTTTCTCCAAAGAAAAGCAAAACAGACCCCCCCAAAAGTTCCGTCTCGTTTACTGTTATTCTGAGGTTCGTGGCGTTCGCGGAAGCTTGCCAAAAGGCAGGAAAAATCTGCTTTTCAGCCAGGCAGTTTCGGATTGCTGGAGTCGACGTTAATGTTGGCTCAGGAGCCCCAAATATATTTTACAAGCACAATGGAGGCGAAGGAGGCCAGCCCTCCCGATGTGCAAACGAGAAGCCTCAGTAACGCAACTGAGGTTCACACAAAGACGCATCTTACCTTCCTTAAATGGCTAAGCCGAAATTCTTTGGCAGGGATGGTGGTGAACGTAACATATCTATCTATCTATCTATCTATCTATCTATCTATCTATCTATCTATCTATCTATCTATCTATCTATCTATCTATCTATCTATCTATCCATCCATCCATCTATACATCCATCCATCCATCCATCATCTCTCTCTCCATCATCTATCTATCTATCTATCTATCTATCTATCTATCTATCTATCTATCTATCTATCTATCTATCTATCTATCTATCTATCATCTATCTATCCATCCATCCATTCTATACATCCATCCATCATCTATCATCTATCTATCTATCTATCTATCTATCTATCTATCTATCTATCTATCTATCCATCCATCCATCCATCCATCCATCTATACATCCATCCATCCATCATCTCTCTCTCCATCTATCTATCTATCTATCTATCTATCTATCTATCTATCTATCTATCTATCTATCTATCTATCTATCTATCTATCTCTATCTATCTATCTATCTATCTATCTATCTATCTATCTATCTATCTATCTATCTATCTATATCTATCGATCATTGCATCTCTCTTTTTTCTTTTAATTTTAAGAAACTTCCCTTTCTAACCAAGTTCTCGACTTACAATCACAATTTACATTGCCGAGCTAGAAATTTATCAAGGGAGTTTTGCCCCATTTTACGACTATTTTTTTCTTTAAGCGAATCACTGCAGCTGCACTTTGCAAAGGTTTCGCTTAGCGGCCTCAATTTTGGGCTGAAATTGCGGCCGTTAAGTCGAGGACCGCCTGTATTTAGGGCTGCTGGCAGACAAGCAATTTTTTCTCTGCAGTTTCCAAAGCAAATTGCATCGTGTCTGAGATCCAGGACTAAAAAAGTAGGGGGGAAAAAAAAAATATGTCATTGTGATATCGTATGACAAACTCTCAGGAGTCAAGTCTGCAGTCTGGTCCAGTTTTTCTCCAGCTGATTTGGGTTTGTGATACAACCTTGCGGTGTTTTTATCTCCCCCCCTCTTTTTTTTTCTTTCTTTTCTCTCAACTTTCCAACTTTTAATATTCTAGTATATATTTCCGATGATTTATGCTCTTGTGAACGTTTTTAGAGGCGTGTTCTGTTTTGATTTAACCCCCCCCCTTTTTTTTTTGTTTAACAGAGGATAGCAAATTCGAAATAAACAAGGAGGCGGCTGTCAAACACAATATACGGCTTTTTTTTTTTTTATAGGATTACCTGGACCGGTCTTTGCAGTAGCAACACACCGGAAAAATTAACATGCGAAAAATAGAGAGTGACTGTTAATCACAGCTGGGTGTGTGTGTGTGTGTGGAGAGTGACTGTTAATCACAGCTGGGTGTGTGTGTGTGTGTGTGTGTGTGTGTGTGTGTGTGAAAAAGGGGGTATTTTTGACTTGGCCCAGACAAAACCTGTCTTTCTGGTAAGACACTTGAATGCTCTGTTGCAAACTAACCAGAGAAAATAGCTATTTTGAAGGAATTTTGAGGGGGGGGGAGGCTGAGAAAAACACAACCTGTGCAACACAACCTGTGCAGCTACATTTTTCACACAGCATCCTTGGTTGTTTTTTTTTGTGTTTTTTTTTTTAAAAAAAGATAGAACGGGTCACGACTTTCACAATCATCCTAAATAGATTTTAAAGGCAGGCCGGCACGGTTGCAGGTTGTCCTCGACTTACGATGGCAACGGAGCCCGACGTTGACGTCGCTAACCGAGACATCTGTTAAACGAGACACTGGTTAAGCGAGGCTTGCCCCGTTTTTGTGCGCCCCGGTTGTGAAGTGAATCGCTGCAGGTGCCGAATTAGTCCCGCGGTTGTTTACGACCGTCGTAAATACAAAGGGTCTGATCTCGTGACCACGACGGTCCTTAAGTGTGAGACAGGGCGCTAACTCCCTTTCCTCAAGGCTGTTGTAAGCTTGAACCGGTTGCAAGTAAAAGGATCCTCTAGCCCATGGCCCACTGCTGGGGGCGGGGGGGGGGGAAGGGAGGGTGCCAGCCATCAATGCCTCCTATTGTTTCCCTCCTTCCCCCCCCTCCCGCTCCTCTTTGCGGCCGAAACTCGGAAATAAAGCCATAATTGCGGG